CCTTCTCACGCAGTTGATATTTCCAGCAAACAGTCACTAATTACTTTTTCTCATCCACATCCTTTTTCATTTCATCAAGCATCATTTTTCATTATTCCTGGCAGCATGTAGCACCACATATTTCTGTGGAACTCTGCAACTGTGTACTAAGCAGTTTTCATATCCTCTTTCCTTAGTATTACGTAAAGCACATTCTGTTGATAGATTATTGAATAATTTGCACACCGGACTCATGCTTTCTATTTCTGTAGTCATCCTTCTTGGACTCTATACTTTTTATTTCACTTTTTTTCCTTTTTTTCTGTGTCCATTTTTCACTGAAATCCATTTTTAATACTACCAAATAATGAAATGTTTCAGATTTAGAACCCCTAATGTTTGTATCTTTGACTAATTATCTCAATCTCCCACTGTAATCACTCAAATAATTCATGTTTTTCTAACTATTTCTTTTTCATGCACCTGAATGAATAAACTGAAGCTGATATTTTTATTTTATTTCCATGGCAAGAGGCATTAACCCTTTATTCATCGTACATTTGAAGTCAAAACCTTTTGTGTGCTATTGTCATAAGAAGAAAGGCCTACTCTGATCAATCACAGATTTCACATAATATTTTTTTTACCGAGAAAGTATAGAAAAGATACTGTTCTTACTCATTGCTCCAAAGGTGCTTTTCCAAATAGCAACTGGACTTTCTTTTTTGTTTTCTTGAAGATATTTGTTTCTTATCCAAGAAGCTTCTTCAGCTCTGGAGAAGCGAAACGTCTTCAAGGAAAAACAAAGAAAGTCCAGTTTTGAAAAAGCACCTTTGGGACAAGATGTGTGAGAATCTCCATAGACATTCTTACTCGTTCTTTACCATGTAAAAATGTCTGCTAAGGATTAGGGCTGTTAATGGACCACTCTATGGCATATCAGAAACCGAGTCACAGAAACAAGCAAATCCCCATCCGCAGGATGCAGGTAGCATGTGAAACCACAACCCCACCGGTCCGTGGAAAAACCTCTCTTCACAGAACCAGTCCGTGGTGCCCAAAAGGTTGGGGCCACTGTGTTAGGGCACACTTTAGCCAAAATACCACAAACTGCATTCAAAGCCCAATTTTAAAGGTAAGTGCAAATGCTGAATAACAAAAAGTGAAGAACTTTGGTTTTCATGGAATGATATACAGTATAAATCATAATCATAACCAATAAAATAAATTAACAATATAATTTAATATTTTGCAAATATGCATTTCTTAAGGAATCCATATAATTAAGAGAATTTCAACCATATAAATTTTGACTCACATGTATATGAGGCTTGCTCAAAATACTTCTTTTTAACATGATTTCTAGCTGAACTCACAAAGCAGACTTTTTAAAGATTTTAAGTCATTAATACCTTAAGCCAATTCAACCCCTACACTGAACCATATGCAATAAGAATGTTTTCATGCATTTGCTGCCTCAACCAGTGACTATGTGCAGCTAATAAGCTATCCATAACTTATCTACCAAGGCTTAACATACTAAATATTGGAGTGATTTGTCTGTAAGAAGCCAGAAAACAGTTATTAATACACATCTCCCAAATAGTGCTTTGGTCTTTGTAGATTTTTGTAAGCCAAATTTTATCTTTAGATAATGTAACACAGTCATAAATTGAAGACCTACATTCCATTTATCCAGAGAGAGAAAAAAAGGAATATTGTAAAGTGAGTGCAGGAAAACTAAAATATTGGATTACATAAATGAAACAAAAAGTCCAAAGAATACAATCCAGTGAATAACTCAGTGATAACTAATTACTGTAGGTAATTAAATCTCTCTGCTTTCAAATCCATCAATTTTATCAAGAATATTATTTGTGACAGAAAAGGGTTTACCATCTGCCATTTGGTATAGGGTAAAGGATGGTTCCCATCTCAGTTCCTCAAAGCCATATGTCAGCATCAACAGTTTGACATAATTAGCATTTGTGATAGCTTTAAGCACAAATACAGTCAATAGGAATGAATTTATCTACCAGATGACATAGGAACAAATTGCACTAGATATCATAAAAACATTAATACCTTTGTGCATTATCAAAGATGTATTAAAACAATTAAAGATTAGAGTGGTCTTGCAGAAATTTAAGAGATTTTAAAATTATCGAATAACGTTTTATGACTTTTACAGCCTCATTCTGCCAACATCAAAATTATCTGCAAAAGTCATAAAATATTATGAGATCATTTTTAAGTCCTTTCCTAAATTTCAGCAAGAGCTAGTCTTCTTCCTCTGCAGTAACAATCTGCAAAATAAATGTGCCCATGGTGAGACCTGCAAAAAAATGCTCTATTATGTATTTAAAAGTAGAAGGCAAGCAGCCTTACTGGTAATTTAGACCTAACCACAGTGACAATGCTGAAACAAATATATTTAGAAACTAACTGGCAACCATGCAATTATTGACTAACAACGTTCAGTTTCCAGTTTATCAAGTCCTGCCCTACGTAATGCATACTGCCACAATCAAAACTTGGGGATAGCAATGTATTATCACTGGCAATAAGCAAAAGGTAGATCTGGTTTATTAGCAAAAGCTGAAGAAAATGCCTTTCCCCCCCACAAATGTTATACAACTGCTTAGTATCAATGCTGGATTCAGAAGGATCTCTGATCATGAACCCATCTTGCAAATCTACAAGAACCACATAATCCAAAATGTATAAGTGCTGAAAATCACCACAAAGATAATTCAGGTGTTAGTCAATGTAGAATATTGTGTTAATATCAGATCTCTGCTACTACTCGAAAGGACACTATAACTTCTTACAGGTATTGCACGCTTCGTGTAACTATCTGCAAGGAGATAATATATAATCATACAAATATGCACACTATCTTCTACAGCAGGGGTCCCCAACCACTGGTCCGCGGACCGGTCCCGGTCCGTGGAACAAGTCCTACTGGGTCGCTGGTAGAAATGGCTTTCTACCCGGAAAAGCTCACCGGAAGCGCTGGCGCCGCCATCTTTTTTTGATGAAAAAGTGCTTCCGGTGAGGTCACCGGAAGCACTTTTTCATCAAAAAGATGGCGGCGCCCAGCTAATGCCGGTACCGGGCCGCGCCATAAAAAAAGTTGGGGATACCGGGCCGCGGCATAAGAAAGGTTGGGGATCACTGTTCTACAGGACCCAGAATTATCCACTTTGTCTTATTTCAACATACCCAAACCTCAACTGATGACAGGAATATGGAGCCTGTCCTTAGTTAAGGTTTTAAGACAATTATATATTTTGTGAGACTTATGGGGAGGATTCCAAAGCTGACACTGGATGTCTCCATGTGCATGTACAGCCACTTTCCTAAAACATGCACACAATGCAAAGTACCTTTTTGCACTGCCCTAATACAATAAAGTAAGAACATTTGCAATTCAACTCTTCTTATATCTTCCTTTCTTATTACAAATGACCTTCCAGTCCATGTTTTGCCACCTTTGACTGTCAAATTTTCCAGACTGAAACCTGTACAAATTGAGGAGAGAATCTCTTGAAGAGCATTTGAAGGCATTACTTGTCCTCCAAGTAATCAATTTCTACCCCTCTATTATTTCAGAAAGAATAAGCACTTGCCAGTAGTTCTGCTTGAATTCTGGCTTAATCAGGCTGCTTGTCACATGGCTTTTAAATGTAGTGTATTGTGGGGCTATGATTATCTACAACTTCCTAATCTTCCATAAACTTTAAATGTAAAGTTCTTTAGCTATATTTTTGCTTGCTCTAGATCAGGGGTCGCCAACGTTTTGGACCTCAGGGACCAGCAAATTCACCATTTTAAATCCCGCAGACCATAGGCCCTAGGAAAATCCCCCAAAAAGTCTGCAGGAAAATCCCCCACCCCGTTTTCCTACTGATCAATCGTTCTTTATTTGGGATCGCAGGATACTGTCTCCAGCTCCGTTCTCAGGGGGGGAGACTTTGGCTTCATGCAAGAAAGCAGCAGGAACAGAAGTCTTTCTTTCTCTCCCCCAAATTCCGCCAGAAATGAGTCTTTGCCGGCGCAGCCTCTTGGAGCAGGAGGCCTTGCAGGGTCCCAAAGTCTCATTTCTGGCGGAGTTTGGGGGAGAAAAAGAAAGACTTTTGCTGCTGTCCTTGCATGCAGCCAAAAGCAGAAGAAGAAAGAAGCGGAAAGAAGCAGCCCGGAGACCAAGCAAGGTGCATGGGGTGAGCGAGGCAAGTTCCCCCCCACCCTTTCTCCCCTCCCCTCACTACCTCGTGTTGTTCACAATGCAAGTGATGCAAGCCTTGTGTTCCCATGGGCCATGTGGGCGGTGCAGCCTTGTGTTCCCGCGCAGCCGGGATTAATTGCTTTGGGGGGGACATTTCTCTACGAACCACCAAAATTTTCTCATGGACCACCAGTGGTCCCTGGCCCACCAGTTGGTGACCACTGCTCTAGATATTAGTACTAAAACATTACCAATCTTGCCGTGCCTTAAAATTAACTGATTGCAATGCTTTAGCTACACCAATATATCCAAACTAGAGGATATATGTGCCTCCCCATTGGATCTACAAGGGGGTAGAGCCTTGACTATGCTATCAGGACTACTATCTCATCCTTTTTAGTCACCCCCACCCATAGAAGCTATTGTTTTCTAAAAGGTATTATGCAGCTTCCGGTTATCTTCCACTGAAATCCTAGCTGATTTTACATAGATTTTCCAGGATCAATCAACTGTTGACACCAGCTTTTGGTAGAAAAGATTAAATGCTATAAAATCATAATTGACAGAATACACACAGAGAGATACATATATGCACACATAAAACCAACACCAAAGTTTTAATATCACCAAGAAAAAGTTACTTAATTACAAATGGATATTATTTATTCAAATCTTCTATTACAGACCACTAATATAGCAAGTCTGGCATGTCATTTTAGTTCTATCTTGATATTTTCTATCAAGAAAAAAGGTTTATTGGATAGGTGATTTACTGCAGTGCACTTCATTTTACCTGTACTTGTTCTGTGGAGCTGCTACTGAGATCATCTCCAGACTCTGAATCTTGGTGGATTTTTTCTGATCCTTCACCTACAGAATCACAGGATTGTTCTTGCAAGAAGCTGGTCTTCTCAGTTTCCATACATTCTGAACAATGAAAGTGAGACCCAGATAAGTTCATGTTCTGATTGGAAACTTTAACAAACTGTAAATCATTAAACTTTCCATTGTTTAGGGCAAGATCTATGCTAAGTCCAGTATTCTGACCTGGGCTACTGTTTGATCCAAGATTCTGGTTGGCATCCTGAGCTTGAACTAGATACAATTTCCCTGAAGTTGAATGCTCTGGAGATTTATTCACATTTTCTGTTGACCTCTGTAAGCCATGTGCAAGTTTTAGAGAGTTGTTTGGCAGTCCAACTAATGGCCTAATAGGTGGCATTAGTGCTTTACGGGTTATTTCTTTAACATATTGTGCTGGCACATAGAAGGGTTTGGAATTTTCATCCTTTTTGACTTGCCACCAGTCATCATTAGTCTTTTTTACTAAGATGTATTTCTCCCCTTGTTTTATCACAATCCTTTTGTCTTTTGCTTCATATTCATAATCATATTCAACTTCAATAAACAGTGGGCCTGAAATATTTTTTCCAGCCTTGTCAGCCATCTTTTAAAACTCTATGTTTCCAAGCGAAAGATTAAGCCACATGGTGTTTCTTCCTCCTGATTCTTAGAAGACCTACAAAAAAATGCAAACATATTACCATATGATCATATAATAAATGTGATCTGCAGATTATTTATATATTAGAAGGATCCTCTCACAAATTTTATATTTGGGAGGAATTAGCTTACCAAATCTTTCAGATAAATCTGTTGGAAAATATAGGTTTCCTTGGCAAAAAAAACAACAAAAAAAACTTTTTCCAGAAAAAATTCTACAGGCATAAACCTATGGAGACTTGTTTCAGCATGTACACCTTACATTTAAGAAACAGAACTAAAATGTTTTATTACTTCGCATGTTATTTATATCTGAATTTTTCTCTAAAAGTCCAGAATACAGCATACGCGCATTAGGGAAAAATTATAACTGGTATAATTTTAATAATAATTAATATTTTTGTGGAGATTATCTTTACTTAAAATGATTATGGTATAATATGAATACACAATACTTTCCTTACACTATTTAAATTTTAACAAAAAAAGTGGTGGAAATAACTGAAAAGTATTGATTTTAAAATATTTAAAGAATGGTAGTTTTAAGAAAAATATAGTTACATTTCTAAATTTAAATGTAAAAAGTATTTTAAGTTTCCTAATTGTTCTAGTTTTTAAAAAAATGGGTATAGAAGAATACAGTGCATAATATCCTTATGTTCTTTAAATTACTTATTATAAATTCTGCAATAAATTCTGTTTTTTAGTTCAAGACAATCTCTTACTTATCTAGCAAATTATTTAGTTGAGATAATACTATATCTTAGGAGGAATGAAAGAACAACTATATTGATTTTCATCTTATGCTAACCATCTCTTTAAATTGGAATTTAGTAGTACCTATTATTTTCCTGAAACTATTCTATTAATGTATCATGAATCATGAACTGGAATCACTGTCTATTTTTTTATATATAATGGTAAGAAATGCCACATATCCCTTTAAACTATTTAAACTATTTGTATCCATCATGCTTGTACTACTCATATACTTATTAAAACAAAATAAGGTAAAGCATTTTAGCAGGTGGTGAAGATAAAAGTTATGAAATGTTATGAAATGCAGTATTTTGTGGGAATTAATGGATCAGGATCTGCCATTTCAATCTTCTGAATTTCCAGATTTTATTAATTTATCTATACCTACACAGTCTATTTGGACACTGACCAGATTAAGAAACGTCTCAGGGTTATTGCATAATCTGCTTTAAACCATTTATATGTATTTCTTTTATATTACCTTTAAAAGAAAAATAAAGAGGGTGATTAATAATAAATTAAAAACAAATAATACAACAGAGGAATTAACAAAATGAAAATCAGCATAAATTGAATTCAATCATTCAGATAGTAAAAACACAGAAGAAAATTCATTGCCAGAAAGTAATTAATATAGGAACCAAGACGTGTGGGGAAGAGAAATAATTTGGTTACAATGAAAGAAACATTCCTCTATTCGATAACTATACATTCATTTACCTAATCAAACTATCCAAGCAAAAGTAAAATAACATAAATCTCTTAAAATTTGTTCTTAACAAACCCATGCTGACTTTTTTCCAATCAAGCACTGTGCTTGGAAGGCATTTAAAGCTCAACCTTATGATCTGCTCTAGAATTTTCTCAGGAATCAGTAGAAGACTCATTGGTCTACAGTTCCTGGAATCTTCCTTTTTCACCTTTTGGAAGGCAGGATCAATTTACCCAAGCCAGTTTTCTGTTTTGCCCATTTTCTAGAATTTCCCAAAGATTACTTAAAAAGATTTAGCCAAGCCATCAGAAAGCCCAGGATATAATCTAGCTGGCCATGGGATTCAAACATTGGCACTTTTCCTTTTCTACTTATATTAACTCAGATTTAATCATCAATGCCACCAAGTTCATTCCCTTTGATTTCATGCAGAGATAGATATTTTTAGCATACAGTACAACTCTTCCTTACTGTTGCTTCTGCTGCTTTTGAATAAGTTGTAGCCTTCTGTTGCTTTATTCCAATTATGGGAGTCATTCCATCAGATCTCAGTCACACTTATTAAATAATCCCTCAGATAATGAAGACTATGACCTTTACAGGAATGTTGTTTATGGTTTATTACTGATTTTTAAAAAGCCTCAGTTTAATTATTTTCCCAGCTATTCCTGTATTTTACTATTCTTCATTAGTTCTGAGATTTTGCCTTCATTTCTCACATGATTCAATTTAAGTCCTTCCTGATTAAATTCAACATGTTTTGGTTAATCACATCCCACAATTTTGGTAAGAAGGAATCTATCCCTTACCATCCTTCATATAGGTTATGTAGATATGAATCCAAAATCAAATTTCTTCTTCAGCAATTTCAAAGCCACAGATTCTCCTGCACTATCATTCTTTCCTTTTCCAATTTCTTTCATGGATGAAAATAGCCCACCTAGGCTCTACAGTTTCATTCCTAGCTTCAAGATCTAACTAATGTACTTATAGCTGCTTGTATCATTATTTGTTACATTAAAACATAAACCATGGTTTAAAATAATAACCAAGTTCATATAATATTTTCAGGTAAAGACAAACAAGCACATAATAGCTTATTTGTGTGTGTAAATGGAATTAAATGGAACTATGCTGCAAAAATTAATACTCTGTTATTTTAAATTCAATAAGTATAAGCAACATGTCCCATTTATCAAATAGATGTAAAGTATCAGTCACTGAAAAAGGTGATTTTAAAATCCATACTGTACAGGTAATCCTCGATTTACAACAGCTCATTTAGTGACCTTTCAAAGTTACAACACTGAAATAAGTGGTACCATTTTTCACATTTATGACCATTCAGGATCCTCATGGTTATGTGATTTACATTCAGACACTTGGCAACTGACTCATATTTGCACTGTTCCTGGGGTCATGTGATCACCTTTTGTGACCTTCTGACGAACAAAGTCAATGGGGAACCCTGATTCACTTAACAACTGTGTTACTAATTTAACAACTGCAGTGATTCACTGAACAAACAAAACATTCACTTGACAACAAAATTCATAAAATGGGGCAAAACTCACTTAACAAAGTTCTCACTTAGCAACATAAATTTTGGGCTCAATTGTGGTCGTAAGCCGAGGACTATCGGTATTAAACTAATGCAGGTCAGTGAAGAGTCTGAAATACAATGTCTAAAAGCAACATAAAAGTCACACTACCCCTTTAATTTTCAAAACAATACATTTCAGGAAACAGTACACTTTTCAAAAAAAAATTAAAGAAAATTATAAAAGCATGACATATTTAGCTCCATTGCATTTGGCTGCTTTGTGATATTGATAACATTAAGCTAACTAAAGAAATTATCAACCTTACAAGGTTTAAAGAAATAAAATTTAAAATCTCTACATTTATGCTTACTCTGTGTGTGTGTGTGTGTTACCTTCTCATTATTCTACAGGTGATCTGTATCTTCCTCAATTTTAGGTCCTCTATCAAAGGCCTCGGACGGTTCTGTGCAGGATCTTAGCTATTCTTAGCACAGTACTCTTCCTGACAGTGAGCTCTGATTTTGTTCCTAGGAATAATCTGAATTTAGACGTCATTGCCCTGAATGCTCCTGCCTCTACTGAGAAAAATTTGGCCTTTACTTTATACACATACATATATACACACAATGGCAACACAGTAATATGCTTCTTCAACTGCAGACTATTGTGCTGACAAGCATTATCCTCTACAGCTGTAATGAACACATTAATGATGTTGTCAGACAAACAAAGTTAGTCATTGAAGCTGGATTTAGAAGACATTTTGATTTTCATTTGTTATAAAATCCTACCAGCTGAAGGCCAGATGAAGTGAACTGGCCCTTACAAATGAACTGGCCCTTACAAAATAGGCATTTTCTCTTATGTTGTGACTTGTCAGCATCTGAGAAACATTTCCATTAAACCCATGATTTCTGGGTACGTATTGTATGAGAACAAAAATACACCCCCACCGGCATAACTACTTTACTTGTGCAGATTTTTCTGCATTTCTATAGCCTCATTTCAAGCAAGTCAGCAGAACAATGTAGACAAAAGGCTGGCACTATTTTCCACATTTCAGATAAAAAAATTCTGACAATTATCAAGCACATAGAAGTCTGGAGAAAAGATAGCAGCATTTCTAGTCACCATGACAGAAAAGCAAACATACTATGGAATGCCAAGTCCATGATTTTCATAACATTCTTTTCACATTTTTAGAAAGAAATTGATTTTACACACTAAAATTTCATAAGAATTTTACTTGACAGCTGGCATGACTCATTTGTACTCAATTTCATACGAAATAGTTTTAAAATGAGCATAAAGATAAAACAATCACAGATGGAAAGCACGGACTTTCAAAACCAGTTAGAAAAAATGGTATAATTCTTTTTCTCCAGCAATTTGGCTTTTCTTCCAAAATAGAATCATCCTTAACTTGGAAGATGATCACCAATTTAGATTTGGCATCTTAGGATACTCAAGATTTTTAAATGGTAAATAAATTCACAAGCATATAGATCTTTTATCTGTTTGTCTCTCTTTCAGATTATCTAGCAAAAATATATGGCTAATATACTGCGTTTAAAGCAAATAAAAGAAAGTTTAAAGTTTCTTATAAACAGTCAGTTAGACAAGATAGAAACCTTTCATTAAAAACAAATGACTATTATGTCCCCCACATACATATTTTGCAATATATTTTATTAAGTAAAATTATACAAAGCTTCTTACTTTATCCTGGATGAGATTGTGTTTTTAATCATCAATACTGGAATTCTTAAATAGCATATTAACAACTATCCCGAAGCTTTTAAGCAGTATGTTCTATGCAGTAACCTGCCTTTAAAGACAAATCAACAACTTCCTATCTAAATGATGCTTTTCAACAAGCATAAAAGAAGATTTCTCCATTTTGGAATCTTTCTCTATACAGAAAGTTTCTCAAGAGGAAAAGCAGAAGAAAGGCATCCATTCCGTGCAGAAACAATATAAGCGTGAACACTTCCGGCACAAACCAACACTGGCTGTCAGGACAAACAATCTCCCTATGAAGGCTGTTATCACCAGGGTTTCTACATATTTCCGGAAACAGGTTGTATTGCCTACAGAAAGAGAAGGCAGAATTATGCCTGGGCCCAAGTGGGAAGGAAGTGAAACTATGGCACTTTTCTGCTCTCTGGAACACGTGCCATTAGCAGAGAGCACACTCTGTCTGTGTGTCTGTGTGTGTCTGTGTGTGTTGATGCATATGTGCGTGTTTGTGCATGTGTAGGTAAGTAGATTGAGTTAGATCATTCCTCATAAAAATAAAACACAAGATCAAAAAAGGCTTCCTAAAAATTACCCATCAAAAGCAATAGACATCATGCTGTGCACCTATTCCCACCCCGCCACCCCCGAAATAAGTTTGATGCTAAAACTATTTCATGCTAAACCCAATCAGTGCTGCAGAGAAAAGTGTGAAACCCCCGCACCCACACGGTCTGAAACGCGCCCCCCCACACACAGACCGACCATTGCTCAGAGCCTTCTCCAAACCTACCCTCCAGGTTCAAGACGCCGGTGGCTGGGGATTATACAATGGGTAGCTCAACACAACTAGAAGACACCATTTCCACTTGGCACAAAGACACTTGTGCGAGCAACACGGCAAATTTGCAATCCTTCCACCTTGCCCGTCGTAATTCCCAAACTTTGGGACACATAGACACATACACAAAAATAAGGTTCAGCGCACTGGAAAGAAGTGTGCATTAAGCGTTCTCTCTCTCTCTCTCGCTACCTAATCGCCGTCCGGATTTGTCCGGGAGCCCCACCTCTCTCGCGCTCCATCCTCACCCTTGGAACAGCCCTTTGCCCACCCCCACCCCAAAAATAACTGGGAAGGGGGGAGCGTTATCCCGCATTATTACCCACCCCCAAGAGGGAAACGGCGCGACCCTGTGTAAAAGGTGGGGCGAAAGAGCCAGACTACGAGGAAGTCCGTCCGATGGTCCTTCCATCCCCCGCAATTAAGCGACCGGGGGCACTACGGAAGCCTCGCCGTACTGGGAAGCGACCGCGGGCCCCTCCTCATTCGAAAGAGCCCCTTCTCACCGGAAATCGGAGCCCCGGACTGGTGTAGATCCACACTCCCGGCTCCGACGCGGCGTTTTGCGGACTAGCAGCCGCGGCTTCCTTCTCTCGCTCCGCCCCTCGCCCGTTCCTCCTTTTCTCCAGCGGCGGCTCAGGATGGAAGCTCCGCCCCCATCCCTCCTCCCCACCCCTCCTCCCCACCCCCTGCCGCAGGGAACCTCGCAACGCGGCGTCAGAGGTCCCCGTCACGTGGTGGGGAAGGAGGAAGAGAAGCGGGGGGGGGAGGAGAGAAACGGGCGGGAAAAAGTAAACAGGCGGATGGAATGCCGCGTTTCTCTCACAAAAGCCGATCTCTCGAGCGGATAGCGCGCGCAGGCGCACCAAACTACTTCTTGCTCGCCTCAGACGGGAACTGGCCTTTAGTTAGCCCGATGCCCGCTTAAAGGCAGCTTGTTTCGTTTAGCATTCCCAGTGATCACGTAAGATAGATATTCTATCCATGTTCTTTCAGGCAGGGCTGTCTTAACGCATGGGCCTGATATAAGCTTACTAATCTGTGTATCTTAATACTTCAATGCACCTTGTATAATGCAAATACAGCAACATATTGATCACATTTTTATATTAATACTACCATGCGAAATATATGTTTATTTTATCAACCATTTACATCTTTATTCCTGTGAGTAGTTGTAGGACACTGCTTTGTCCGGGGCCCATAATGCTGTTAAGAGGGCCCTACTTTCAGGTGTTGCTATGGTGCACCCATAGTTTCGTAACAGTCCATCCACCTGGCTTGCTGGTCTTTCTCTTCTTTTGTCTTTTGCATAATTGTGAATAATTTGAGCCTGGCAGGAGGATTTTGGATTGGATTGTTCCTTGACCCATTGCTTTTATTTTCTTGAGTGCCCATGGTGGTTTCATGTGTCTTCTCCAACACCAATTTTTTATGGCTAAGCCATAAAATCATACTTTGTTCATTCACTGACTGAGGCTAAGTTGTTATAATCTCTGCCTTTGGTGTCTCTCATCCCCAGTTTGAGATGAAGCTAAAGTTACAGGTGGACCATTCAGTGGCCACTTGAACTTGTGATGGTGCTGGATGAGTGACACTTAATAAGCACTCCTCAAGAGTTCCAGCTGTTGCAGTGTTCCTGAGGTCATGTGATCTCCATTTGTGAGCTTTGACAGTTTTTGACAAACCAAGTCAGTGGGGAAGCCTCTAATGGTAACTACATGACCTCCTCACTTAACAACAGCTTGGATTCAATTAACAATGAAACTGGAAATGTTGGAACTCCTTTTGCTAAGTGGTGGGATCATATGGCATCATGCTTGATGACAGGGATGTTGCAATTACCCTTGTTTTGTAACAATAATTCTGAGGATACAGATTTATTAACTAAAGCCCATTCATTTATTAATTTACTAGAGTCCTTCAATTTGTACTAAATGTACAAATGGGAAATTGTACACAATATATTAATGCAAGAGAGAGGATGTCTGGGCCATGTCCAAACATGCACATATGATTTATAGTAGAGAAAGCAAGAAATTTTAGATAGTGACCTTATGAAGGAATGGTGACGACTCACTTCTCACAAGTCTGGAGTTGTCCAATATATTCTACAGATTTTTATAATCAAAAGAGATTTGACTTGAAGCCTGAGGATATATAATATGAAACTATTTCAAGAGGTTATTCATGCATGTTATGACAATCCAATGCAAAAAAGTTTACTTAGAAACGAATATCACAGATTTAACATATTGTGTTTAAAATGTGATTTGTTTTTAGAGTAGGAAAACGTGACTCATTCCTTAAGCCATAATAATATGTGTGAGCCAAACCATAATAGCCTAAACACAGTACTATGTAATATGTTCTGAATTAATAATATGATGAATGCAGTTATCCTACAAATGTTTATTTAGGATTAAATCCATTGGATATACCAGAATCTCTAATTTTACAGCATGCACTTTTAGGCTTCCTTTAATTTAATCGGACTGCTGAGTAAACATGACAGGATTTATTTCAATGTCTCAAAAACTCGCCTTCCCAATTCCCTTCCAAAAATAACCCTGTGAGGCAGGGTATCCAGGAGAAAGTTACCTAGTCAATGATACCTATATCTAGTGAGTTTATGTAGCTGAGTATGGACTTAAAATGGGATGCTACATTCCTAGTACAACATACCTATATCTAGTGAGTTTATGTAGCTGAGTATGGACTTAAAATGGGATGCTACATTCCTAGTACAACATCACAATATTAATTTTAAATAACCCTCATTAATTACAGTTGAGGCATTTATATAGTAAGATCCTAATTATAAATTCTCAAATATAGGCGCTGCTGCTTTAGTTTTCACAATGTAATCCCCCAAATTTAATGAATGGAACTAGGAAAACTCATCTGTATTTACGGTATTTTTTTATGAACAGGAACTCAACTTGTTCCTTCAGTTCTTGCAGTCAAGGACTCATGGGAGGAAGCTTTCTGCCTAGAGTCATATATGGTCAATTGCCCAAGTTCTCTTGTATATTTGCCTTTTATTTTTCATGTCAATCTGTCATTTGCCTTGTTCCGCCTCATATTGCTATCTACACAGCTGAACACTCATGTAACTCCCACTCTTCACATATGGCTTTCAACTCCCCTTTGCACTGAGGAACAAAGAAAGGAAGTAGAGATGGCTCAGCAAAGATGGGTCTCTCAGTATGCGGAACAGAATATCCCTGACAACACAAGTTGGATGTGTCCTTTCTTTCTTCTCCTTCATGCACCCCCCACCGGCTGGCAATAATCTCTGTGTAATTTGTCTAAAAGAACCTGACTTCCAAACACCAACATTCTCTTATTTTTCACCTCATTCTCTCCTTTTCTCATTAAATTCCCTCCTACTCACATTCTCTACTCCAACAAATTATCTGACTTGTTAAATCCTCAGTGAGCTGCATCACACTGGAGTCAAAGGGCATGAAATAAACTTTGTCATAAAAAGATTTATTAACAATTCTCAGGTAATTCTTTCTAACCCTCAGTCTAGCCAACATATGGTTCTAATTCATATCATTAAGTGATTTGGACTAGACTATCGATGTTCTTTTCATCTCATCAGATCTTCAATAAATTTCAGCATCTTGATTTCTCATGATTGCCATTCAAGGACAGAAGAACACATAATCCACTGAGAATGGCAGCTGTTCCTTTAAAAAAAGGGTTTCTAAGGAAAGATGCATACCATTGTTTGTTAGTAAGAAAGAATGCTTGTGAAAAAAGAAATAAAGGAAAATATTCAATATGAGGATAGGCAAAGCAAATTTTCATACTGAATAAATTTTAAAAGTTAAAAAACACAATTAATTACATTACAAATTTAGGAAGCTACTGTTAGGAAGCTACTGTTCCCTGTGCAACTGTTCCATTACCAATGATGCTATTAGATGTTCAAACTGGCATCTCTCTACATGTTTGACTCAACATACTTTTGTCAGAAGTTTCATGTTTTTCAGCTGAAGTGGGTCACACAACATACTACATGAATTGCTACTTTAAAGAAAAACAGCAACTTCTTAGTTTGTAAGGACGGGTATCATGAGGACAGGAGCTGTGTTATGCCAGCCTTTCAGTCCAAGTGTAGCCTATTTTGGATTCTCCAGAATTATTCATAGATCATTTCTCCCAAATTGTTGTTATAAACCAGATTTATTCTGGACTGCAAAAGATGGGATTCAAAAGTGAAAAGACATGGGAAGTGCAACAGACTATAGAATTTGTTCTTGGTGCTTAAGGAAGGCTTAAATGGTTTTATTCCCTCTTTTATTTAGCAGTCTGAAATCTGTTTGATATCTTGGTTGTTAAACAAGTAGTTTATTTAAATGAGCCATTGAAACCTGATGCATTTCAAGCAAAACTTTTACTTAGCAGCTAATTTATATTCTATTTATCCAAATACATTAAGAATGTAAACATAAACATTTTGTTTCACAGCAAGATGCAAAACAATGTAGTTAGTTTTTACTGAATTAATACAGTATATTTCACATTAAATTAATCCTTTACATCAGTGGTCCCCAACCTTTTTTGTACCAGGGACCGGTTTCAAGCAGAAACACTTTTTCAAGGACTGGGGGGGGGGGGGGGGG